CATAGCAAACCAAACATACATCTGTACTAAAAAACACACACATACATATATATATATATTTTAATTATTTTTTTTAACTGATCTATGTTTTTTTTTTAGTACAGATCTATGTTTGTGCCATCCATGTATATCTATAAATATGATATAGCATATACAATTATAATGAACTGAATATGCACAAATGTACCAATAGATACCCATATATTTATTAAATATATAGGATATCTATCTATTTTATATATATATATATATATATATATATATATATATATATATATATTTATATATATATATATATATAAATAGACTATAATGCCATAAGTATTGGGCCACCGGCCTTTCCACGCACATGACCTTTAATGGCCTCCCAGTCTTAGTCTGGCCATACACTATACAATTTTCCTTTAACTATGTAGTACAAGGTCCTGCCTAATTGAATACAATTGAAAGTGTTGTTTATGTTTGACCTCATATTATATGGTTTTTGGTAAATCTAAACCACAATTCTCAAGAAAATTGTATAATCTATGGCCAGCCTTAGTCCGTAGGGTTCAATATTGAGTTGGCCCCGCCCTTTCCACACACATGACCTTTAATGGCCCCCCAAGTCTTAGTCTGTAGGGTTCAATATTGAGTTGGCCCCGCCCTTTCCACACACATGACCTTAATGTCCTCCCAGTCTTAGTCTGTAGGGTTCAATATTGAGTTGGCCCCGCCCTTTCCACACACATGACCTTTAATGGCCCCCCAGTCTTAGTCCGTAGGGTTCAATATTGAGTTGGCCCCGCCCTTTCCCACACACATGACCTTTAATGACCCCCCAGTCTTAGTCCATAGGGTTCAATATTGAGTTGGCCCCGCCCTTTGCAGCTATAACAGCTTCAACTCTTCTGGGAAGGCCGTCCACAAGGTTTAGGAGGGTGTCTATGGGAAGGTTGGACCATTCTTCCAGAAGCACATTTGTCAGGTCAGGCACTGATGTCGGGGGAGGAGGCCTGGCTCGCACAGTCTGCGCTCTAATTCATCCCAAAGGTGTTCTATGGGGTTGAGGTCAGGACTCTGTGCAGGCCAGTCAAGTTCCTCCACCCCAAACTGGCTTCTCCATGGACCTTGCTTTGTGCATTGGTGGGCAGTCATGTTGGAACAGGAAGGGGCCATCCCCAAACTCTTCCCACAAAGTTGGGAGCATGAAATTGTCCAAAATGTCGCCTTAAGAGTTCCCTTCACTGCAACTAGGGGGCCAAGCCCAGCCCCTGAAAAACCACCCCACACCATAATCCCCCCTCCACCAAACTTTTACACTTGGCACAATGCAGTCAGGCAAGTACCGTTCTCCTGGCAACCGCCAAACCCAGACACGTCCATTGGATTGCCAGAAAGAGAAGCGTGATTGGTCACTCCAGAGAACACGTCTCCTCTGCTCTAGAGTCCAGTGGCGGCGTGCTTTACACCATGGCATCCAACACTTTGCATTGCACTGGGTGATGTAAGGCTTGGGTGCAGCTGCTCGGCCATGGAAACCCATTCCATGAAGCTCTCTACGCACTGTTGTTGGGCTCATCTGAAGGCCACACCAAGCTTGGAGGTCTTTAGCTATTGACTCTGCAGACAGTTGGCGACTTCTGCGCACTGTGCGCTTCAGCATGCGCTGACCCCGACCCTGTCATGTGACGTGGCCTACCACTTGGTGGGCTTCCCAGTGGCTTCCACTTTGTTATAATCCCACTAACAGTTGAGCGTGGAATATTTAGTAGCCAGGAAATGTCACGGATGGACTTATTGCACAGGTGGCCACCTATCACGGGACCACGCTTGGAGTCACTGAGCTCCTGAGAGCGACCCATTCTTTCACCAATGTTTGTAGAAGCCGTCTGCATGCCTAGGGGCTTGATTGTATACACCTGTGTCCATGGAGGGGATTGGAACACCTGAATCACATGATTGGGAGGGAGGGGCCAATACTTTTGGCAATATAGTGTGTGTGTGTATATATATACAGTGAACGAAATGCGTATTTGCTCCCCGGCTGATGTTGAATGTTTGCCCCTCACACAGAAATGATCGGTCTAACAATGGAATGTTTTGCCCCTCACACAGAAATGATCGGTCTAACAATGGAATGTTGGGTGTATTGTAACACTGAGAGACAGAATACAACAACAAATTCAGCAGAAATGCGTCTAACAAATGATGACGGATCTGCATGTTCATGAGGGAAATAAGGATTTGATCCCCTATCATTCAGCAGGATTTCTGGCTCCCAGGTGTCTTTCATACAGGTAACAAGCTGAGATTAGAAGCAGTCTCTTAAAGGGAGTGCTGCTAATCTCATTGTGTTACCTGTATAAAAGACACCTGTCCACAGGAGCAATCAAACCATCAGATTCCAAACTCTCCACCATGGCAAAGACCAAAGAGCTGTCCAAGGATGTCAGGGACAAGATTGTAGACCTACACAAGGCTGGACTGGGCTACCAAACTATGGCCAAGCAGCTTGGTGAGAAGGTGACAACAGTTGGTGCAATCATTCACAAATGGAAGAAACACAAAACAAGTGTCAGTCTCCCTAGGTCTGGTGCACCATGCAAGATCTCACCTCGTGGAGTGCCAATGATCATGAGAACAGTGAGGAATCATCCCAGAACTACACGTGAGGATCTTGTCAATGATCTCCAGGCAGCTGGGACCACAGTCACCAAGAAAACAATTGGTAACACACTACGCCGACAAGGACTGAAATCCTGCAGTGCCCGCAAGGTCCCTCTGCTCAAGAAAGCACATGTCCAGGCCCGTCTGAGTCTGCTACTGAACATCTGAATGATGCAGAGGAGGACTGGTGGAAAGTGTTGTGGTCAGATGAGACCAAAATCGAGCTCTTTGGCATCAACTCAACTCAATGTGTTTGGAGGAGGAAGAATGCTGCCTATGACCTCAAGAACACCATCCCAACTGTGAAACATGGTGGTGGAAACATTCTGCTTTGGGGTGTTTTTCTACGAAGGGGACAGGACAACTGTATCGCATCAAACGGGACGATGGACGGGGTAATGTACCATCAAATCTTGGGTGAGAACCTTCTTCCCTCAGCCAGGGCATTGAAAATGGGTGGTGGATGGGTGTTCCAGCATGACAATGACCCAAAACACACGGCCAAGGCAACAAAGGAGCGGCTCAAGAAGAAGCACATTAAGGTCCTGGAGTGGCCTAGCCAGTCTCCAGACCTTCATCCGATTGAAAATCTGTGGAGGGAGCTGAAAGTTCGAGTTGCCAAACGTCAGCCACCAAACCTTAATGACTTGGAGAGGATCTGCCAAGAGGAGTGGGCCAAAATCCCTCCTGAGATGTGTGCGAACCTGGGGGCCAACTCCAGGAAACGTCTGACTTCTGTGATTGCCAACAAGGGATTGGCCACCAAGTACTAAGTCATGTTTTGTGAAGGGAATCAAATCCTTCTTTCCCTCATGAACATGCAGATCAGTCATCATTTGTTAGACGCATTTCTGCTGAATTTGTTGTTGTATTCTGTCTCTCAGTGTTACAATACACCGAACATTCGATTTTTAGACCGATCATTTATTTGTGAGGGGCAAACATTCAGAATCAGCAGGGGAGCAAATACGCATTTCCTTCGCTGTATATATAGATATTTATTTATTGAAATATATTGAATACGGCCAAAATTGTAGTATTTCAAATATATTTTTCTTCCATATGGGACCCCAGAGTTAGACATGCATTTCTGCTGAATTTGTTGTTGCTATTCTGTCTCTCAGTGTTACAATACACCGAACAAATGTGTTACCAGCCCCTTCTTTTCCTGAATGAACACAATGAGTGATCGGTGCCAATCACTCGCTGTGCTCATTCATAACTGAACCAATCAGCTTCCAGGTTTTATTGCCAAAGCTTAATGGAACAAGCTGAAGCTAGAAGCTGATTGGCTGCCATGTACAGCAGCACCAGATTCTGAGTGCTCCAGTTTTAGGAAATCTCCCCCATAGAAGACACCAAGCTGGCCAAACCTTTCATACAATACTGCTGTTTAGTATATAACAAAACATAAAATTGATTTTTTTTCTAGACTAGAATCATATTTTAGACCGTCTTTGGTGATTTTGCGCCGCCAAGATGGATATAATAATGAAATGTGGGGGAAAACGCTCTAACTACGTCTGTCATTTCCTATCCTGCAAGGTTACACAACGCTCATGAGAGCAACGATATAATAGTTTTACTGGAACAAACAGAAATATAAAAATATCTAATAAAATACACGGAAAGCTTCGCTCTCACATCAAAATGTATTTTTTCAAGTCTATGTCTACTCAAAATCTTAAAGTGTTACTAAACCCCCAACAGTACAATCAGTCTGTAGATGCAGCAAAGCATTCTGGTTATACTCACTGTGGAACCTAAGGGGTTAATCCTCTGCAGTGTGCAAAAAAGGATCTTGTCTTCTCTGATCCTCCCCTTCTTCCAGTGTCCCCCTCTTATCTCCTGATAAGACGTATTGTGTGGAGTCACTCTGCACATGCTCAGTTTGGTGTGTATTGCTAGAGAGGTTTTTTTTTTTTTTTCTTGGGAGAGTGCATGTGATCAGCACAGGGCCAATCAGCACTATCCTACAGAGGTCAGGGGTTCTGCATCTTCCTAGAGCAAAATGAAAATGCCTCCTACAAGCTGTAACCAGTGCTCTGCTGAACACTGACAGAAGTCACAAGACTGCTATGTATTGTTGAAGAGAAAAGGTATTTAGCAGTTTATATTTACTGAAATAATTGCATTTCCATGTTGTGTGTACTGTGGGAGACCGGATATAGTGAATGCAGGGTCCGTGGAGACCGGATATAGAGAATGTGGGGTCCGGGGAGAGCGGATATAGTGAATGCAGGGCCCGGGAGAGCGGATATAGTGAATGCAGGGTCCAGGGAGAGTGGATATAGTGAATGCGGGGGTCCTGGGAGAGTGGATATAGTGAATGCGGGGTCAGGGGAGAGCGGATATAGAGAATGCAGGGTCCGGGGAGAGCGGATATAGTGAATGCGGGGTCCGGGGAGAGGGGATATAGTGAATGCAGGGTCCGGGGAGAGCGGATATAGTGAATGCAGGGTTCGGGAAGAGCGGATATAGTGAATGCGGGGTCCGGGGAGAGGGGATATAGTGAATGCAGGGTCCGGGGAGAGCGGATATAGTGAATGCAGGGTCCGGGGAGAGCGGATATAGTGAATGCAGGGTCTGGGGAGAGCTGGATATAGTGATTGCAGGGTCCGGGGAGAGCGGATATAGTGAATGCAGGGTCTGGGGAGACTGGATATAGTGAATGCAGGGTCCGGGGAGAGCGGATATAGTGAATGCGTGGTGCGGGGAGAGCGGATATAGTGAATGCAGGGTCCGGGAGAGCGGATATAGTGAATGCAGGGTCTGGGGAGAGCGGATATATTGAATGCAGGGTCCGGGGAGATCGGATATAGTGAATGCACGGTCCGGGAGAGTGGATATAGTGAATGCAGGGTCCGAGGAGACCGGATATAGTGAATGCAGGGTCCGGGGAGAGCGGATATAGTGAATGCAGGGTCCGGGGAGAGCGGATATAGTGAATGCAGGGTCCGGGAGAGCGGATATAGTGAATGCAGGGTCCGGGGAGAGCGGATATAGTGAATGCGGGGTCCAGGGAGAGCGGATATAGTGAATGCAGGGTCCGGGGAGAGCGGATATAGTGAATGCGGGGTCCGGGGAGAGCGGATATAGTGAATGCGGGGTCAGGGGAGAGCGGATATAGTGAATGCGGGGTCCGGGGAGAGCGGATATAGTGAATGCGGGGTCCGGGGAGAGCGGATATAGTGAATGCGGGGTTCGGGGAGAGCGGATATAGTGAATGCAGGGTCTGGGGGGAGCAGATATAGTGAATGCAGGGTCCGGGGAGAGCAGATATAGTGAATGCAGGGTCCGGGGGAGAGCGGATATAGTGAATGCAGGGTCCGGGGAGAGTGAATATACTGAATGCAGGGTCCAGGGGGAGCAGATATAGTGAATGCGGGGTCCGGGGAGAGCGGATATAGTGAGAGCGTGGAATATTTAGTAGCCAGGAAATGTCACGGATGGACTTATTGCACAGGTGACCACCTATCACGGGACCACGCTTGGAGTCACTGAGCTCCTGAGAGCGACCCATTCTTTCACCAATGTTTGTAGAAGCCGTCTGCATGCCTAGGGGCTTGATTGTATACACCTGTGTCCATGGAGGGGATTGGAACACCAGAGGGGGGCAATACTTTCGCAACATAGTGTGTATGCAAACCCAATTACCGAAATCTCATATTAGCTTTATCGTGTTAATTGCATTCAAAAGGCATTTTCAAAATAAAAGAATAAATAGTGGTGATCCTGCCATGAAGGGCACTTCCTGTTATGGAGTGACAACGCTCTCTCCCTTTCCACCAGTTGTGCTTTTGCGTTGTCACCCTGTCTAACGGAGACTACTGTACTAGTGGCCTTTTCAAATCACAGTATCAGTCATGGTCCTCAGTTGTCACCATCAGTGAACCTGCCATGAAAAATGTCATGGAGCTATCAATAGAGTTTATGTAGACAGGAAGTTGTATCTGCTGTAAAGATCGCGGTGACTTGACGGCCAAGGAATGTAGCCATAATCCTCGAATACAACAAAGCCGGCTACTCAGTAGCATCCATTTTATCACTTCTGTATTGGCTACATGGCAGGATACAGAAGTAACACACTAACGCGTTTCGACCAAAACTTTATTCATGCCATGAGTAATGCTTCGGGAGAAACGCGTTAGTGTACTCCTGCTGTATCCTGCCATGTAGTCAGCATAGAATGGATGCAATGGATGTTACCGAGTAGCCAGTTTATTATAGCATAAGTAAGGCTTTGGCCGAAATGCGTTAGTGTGTCACTTCTGTATTCCGCCTTGTAGCCAATAAAGAATGGATGCAATGGATGTTACTGGGTATCCAGCTTATTTATATATATAGTAAGGCTTAGGCCGAAATGCGTTAGTATGCTACTGCTGTATCCGGTCTCGTAGCTAAAAAAGAATTGATGCAATGGATGTTACAGAATATCCGGCTTACTCATAGCATATGTAAGGCTTCAGCCGAAACGCGTTAGTTGTTACTGCTGTCTTGTGTCTTGTAAGCAATAAAGAATTGATGCAATGGATGTTATTTATAGAGCGAACAAGGCTTTGGATGAAATGCGTTAGGGTTTCTGCTGTATCCTGCCTTGTAGCCAATAAAGAATTGATGCAATGGATGTTACTGAGTAGCCAGCTTATTTATAGCATGAGCAAAGCTTTGGCAGAAACGCGTTAGTTTTTACTGCTGTATCCTGCCTTGTAGCCAATAAAGAATTGATGCAATGGATGTTACTGAGTAGCCAGCTTATTTATAGCGTAAGGCTTTGGCCGAAACGCGTTAGCCTGTTACTGCTGTTTTCTGTCTTGTAAGCAATAAAGAATCGATGCAATGGATGTTACCGAATATCCGGCCTACTCATAGCATAAGTAAAGCTTTAGCCAAACGCGTTAGAATGTTACTGCTGTCTTCTGTCTTGTAGGCAATAAAGAATTGATGCAATGGATGTTATTTATAGTGCGAGCAAGGCTTTGGAAGAAATGCGTTAGGGTTTCTGCTGTATCCTGTCTTGTAGCCAATAAAGAATGGATGCAATGGATGTTACTGAGTAGCCAGCTTATTTATAGCGTAAGGCTTTGGCCGAAAAAGCGTTAGCATGTTACTGCTGTATACTGCCTTGTAGTCAATAAAGAATTGATGCAATGGATGTTAATCCGGCTTACTCATAGCATAAGTAAGGCTTCAGACGAAACGCGTTAGTGTGTCACTGCTGTCTTCTGTCTTGTAAGCAATAAAGAATTGATGCAATGGATGTTACTGGGTATCCAGCTTATTTATATATATAGTAAGGCTTAGGCCGAAATGCGTTAGTGCGCTACTGCTGTATCCGGTCTCGTAGCTAAAAAAGAATTGATGCAATGGATGTTACAGAATATCCGGCTTACTCATACCATATGTAAGGCTTCAGCCGAAACACGTTAGCATGTTACTGCTGTCTTGTGTCTCGTAAGCAATAAAGAATTGATGCAATGGATGTTATTTATAGAGCGAACAAGGCTTTGGACGAAATGCGTTAGAGTTTCTGCTGTATCCTGCCTTGTAGCCAATAAAGAATTGATGCAATGGATGTTACTGAGTAGCCAGCTTATTTATAGCATGAGCAAAGCTTTGGCAGAAACGCGTTAGTTTTTACTGCTGTATCCTGCCTTGTAGCCAATAAAGAATGGATGCAATGAATGTTACTGAGTAGCCAGCTTATTTATAGCGTAAGGCTTTGGCCGAAACGCGTTAGCATGTTACTGCTGTCTTCTGTCTTGTAAGCAATAAAGAATCGATGCAATGGATGTTACCGAATATCCGGCCTACTCATAGCATAAGTAAAGCTTTAGCCAAACGCGTTAGCATGTTACTGCTGTATCTGTCTTGTAGGCAATAAAGAATTGATGCAATGGATGTTATTTATAGCGCGAGCAAGGCTTTGGACAAAATGCGTTAGGGTTTCTGCTGTATCCTGCCTTGTAGCCAATAAAGAATAGATGCAATGAATGTTACTGAGTAGCCAGCTTATTTATAGCGTAAGGCTTTGGCCTAAACGCGTTAGCCTGTTACTGCTGTATACTGTCTTGTAGGGAATAAAGAATTGATGCAATGGATGTTACCGAATATCCGGCTTACTCATAGCATAAGTAAGGCTTCAGACGAAACGCGTTAGCATGTTACTGCTGTCTTCTGTCTTGTAAGCAGTAAAGAATTGATGCAATGGATGTTATTTATAAGTGCGAGCAAGGCTTTGGAAGAAATGCGTTAGAGTTTCTGCTGTATCCTGTCCTTGTAGCCAATAAAGAATGGATGCAATGAATGTTACTGAGTAGCCAGCTTATTTATAGCGTAAGGCTTTGGCCGAAAAGCGTTAGCCTGTTACTGCTGTATACTGTCTTGTAGGCAATAAAGAATGGATGCAATGGATGTTACCGAATATCCGGCTTACTCATATAAGTAAGGCTTCAGACTTAGCATGTTACTGCTGTCTTCTGTGTCTTGTAAGCAATAAAGAATTGATGCAATGGATGTTACCGAATATCCGGCTTACTCATAGCATATGTAAGGCTTCAGCCAAAACGCGTTAGCATGTTACTGCTGTCTTCTGTCTTGTAAGCAATAAAGAATTGATGCAATGGATGTTACTGAGTAGCCAGCTTATTTATAGCATGAGCACAGCTTTGGCAGAAACGCGTTAGTTTTTACTGCTGTATCCTGCCTTGTAGCCAATAAAGAATGGATGCAATGGATGTTACCGAATATCCGGCTTACTCATAGCATAAGTAAGGCTTCAGCCGAAACGCGTTAGCATGTTACCGCTGTATACTGTCTTGTAGGGAATAAAGAACTGATGCAATGGATGTTACCGAGAATCCAGATTCATTATATTAGAGGATTATTGCTACATTTCAGAGGCATTTGAACCAGAGCACCACTTCTTCGTCTCCCAGGTAATTTGCGCTAGAGCATGTTTCAGCTTTGACTGCCCAAAAAACTTGCAAGCAAGGGTCAGCGGGCACTTGCGCCCCTGGTGCTGTTTTAAAAGGGCGCATAAATGGCGGCTATTGGTCCAGGGCAGGGTTTTGATACAGCACCAGGAAGCAGTGGCACTCTGGGATACCGGCAGGGGTCCCATATGGCAGAAAAATATATTTGAAATACTACAATTTTGGCCGTATTCAATATATTTCAATAAATAAATATCTATACATACAGCAAAGAAATGCGTATTTGCCTTTGAATGTTTTCCCCTCACAAAGAAATGATCGGTCTAAAAATCGGATGTTCGGTGTATTGTAATGCTGAGAGACAGAATAGCAACAACAAATTCAGCAGAAATGCGTCTAACAAATGACTGAGCTACATGTTCTGAGGGAAATACGAATTTGATCCCCTTCACAAAACATGACTTAGTACTTGGTGGCCAATCCCTTGTTGGCAATCACAGAAGTCAGATTTTTCCTGGAGTTGGCCCCCAGGTTCGCACACATCTCAGGAGGGATATTGGCCCACTCCTCTTGGCAGATCCTCTCCAAGTCAATAAGGTTTGGTGGTTGACGTTTGGCAACTCGAACTTTCAGCTCCTCCACAGATTTTCAATCGGATGAAGGTCTGGAGACTGGCTAGGCCACTCCAGGACCTTAATGTGCTTCTTCTTGAGCCGCTCCTTTGTTGCCTTGGCCATGTGTTTTGGGTCATTGTCATGCTGGAACACCCATCCACCACCCGTTTTCAATGCCCTAGCTGAGGGAAGAAGGTTCTCACCCAAGATTTGATGGTACATTGCCCTGTCCATCGTCCCTTTGATGCGGTGCAGTTGTCCTGTCCCCTTAGCAGAAAAACCCCCCCAAAGCAGAATGTTTCCACCACCATGTTTCACAGTTGGGATGGTGTTCTTGGGGTCATAGGCAGCATTCCTCCTCCTCCAAACACGGCGAGTTGAGTTAATGCCAAAGAGCTGGATTTTGGTCTCATCTGACCACAACACTTTCCACCAGTCCTCCTCTGCATCATTCAGATGTTCAGTGGCAAACTTCAGACGGGCCTGGACATGTGCTTTCTTGAGCAGAGGGACCTTGCGGGCACTGCAGGATTTCAGTCCTTGTCGGCGTAGTGT